CCAAAAGAGCGGCCTGGAAATCAACCACTGGGGGGCTCCTGTTGGGGCCTGCAGAACGGCACAGGAAGAATGGACTCCTGGAAAGAAAAGTGTTTTCTCAAGAAAGTGTTCTTGCTTCATCAAGTGAATATATCCCAAGAAGGTATTCAAAAGCTCAAGCTTAACTCACCTGGGGTCTCTATGGCCTAACGCCACAAATAAAAGAGGCAGAGAGAAAGCAGTGACCCCTCCCTTCCAGCTTTCCTTTGAAATCAGTCCCCAGAAACCCTACACTAAAGGTTATCACCAACACTTCGCCCCAGAAATACTCTGTCCATGGGATGATAGCTTGGGAGAAGAAAGAGTTTCTCAAAACTTTGAAGACCTAGGGCACAGGAAGAGGGTGAAGGCCTACAGGTGTGGAGTTTTGGGGTTTTTCAGTTGGGGAAAACTGCTCCAAAATGGAAATCTTTAAAGCACCCTTTCAGATCTAAATTTACACAAAAATACGTGTTTTGGGAAATGGTCTAGCATTTTGTAAGGCACCTACGAAACAAAAAATCATAAAGTATACTTCAATGTACTTTTACTTTCCAATACCTTTTTAAAGATAATTTGCCTCCAGTAAAGTATATTTTAAGTGCGCAGTTTGAGGAGTTTTGGCCAGCATATGGATCTGTGCAGCCACCACTCTGATCAAAATCGAGAACATTTTCATGGTTCCAGAAAGCCCCTCCATGGCCCCCCCCCCAAAAGAAGATACCAGTTTTCATCTCTACCACCACATACAACATTTAAAATCCAAACAATGCTGGAACACAGCTACTGTTATTTCCAGCTAGTAGATTCGGATAGCATATCCCAGAGAAGTTCAGTCACTTCCCAAAGTGCACTGATACTGGAGGTGGGTCAGTGACAGAGCAAGGATAGGGGCAAGTCCTGTGTGGCTTTGAGCCCATGATTTTATCAACATTCATGCTTGAAATACATAGAACTGGAACATATACGTTGAGAAAGGAGTGCCCCACCCCGCCTTCTTTATCAAGTACTAAAAAAGCTTTGAAAAAAAGATGGGAGGCGGGCGCCTGGGTGGCTCAGTTGGTTAAGCAACTGCCTTCGGCTCAGGTCATGATCCTGGAGTCCCAGGATTGAGTCCCGCATCGGGCTCCTTGCTTGGCAGGGAGTCTGTTTCTCCCTCTGACCCTCCCCCATCTCATGCTCTCTCTATCTCATTCTCTCAAATAAATAAATAGAATCTTAAAAAAAAAAAAAGATGGGAGGCAATGTGTGGCTAAGTGCGTGGGTTTGGAAGTCAGACCTGAATTTAAGCGCCCAGCCCTGCCATTGATTGACCAGTTGTGGGAGCCTGGGCGAGTCATCTGAGTCTTGTCCTGTCTATGAAACAGGGACTACAGCAGTGTCTCCCTCCCAGGACTGCTGTGAGGGATGCCACAGAGCACTCAGCTCGGCCGCCGGCTCAGAGCACACACCCCAACACAGAAGACTCACACTATGATTATTTGAGAATGCTCTCAAAGACTCAAATTATCTTCTCTCTGAAGACCATTTCCATCTCTACTGACATCCACCCGCATCACTAAGAGATAAAGGCAGAAACCATCCGGATGCATCTAGCTTGAGACTCCGGAATAGACAAAGCTCTGAACCTTTCCGGAGCCCACCCTTCCAAAGGTCAGTCACCTCAATACTGGGAATGGCCCTTGGATAAAAGGTTCTGACTGTTCATGTCCCTGAGCCCGCATGACACTGAGCTAAGGACACAAAGCAGCAGACAATAAGCCTCTCCCAGCATATCTCTCTACAGAAGACTCCCCAGCCATTGCTCCTGGGATCCTGCTTTTTCACTTGTTTCAAAGATTTGATTTCATCATTAATGAGGTTGGGGAGGTGGGGCAAGAGACAGCAAAACTGGTTACAAGAAACAAAGACGGAATTGATACTTGAGGTATTGGTTACCAATTCTATTCAATCAGAAAAATTTAATCCAGTTAGATCTCTCCGGAGTATCCTGTTGCAGATTCTAAACAGTGGCTCTCCACTTAAAAAAAATATTACTGACATGAGGGTCCTATCCGTGTAAATTCTGATGTTAACTGGTCTGGGGGTATGGTCTGGGCAACAGAAGTTTTTTAAAACTCCCCTAGGTGATTCCAATGTGCAGCCGAGATTGCAACCCACTGCTCTAAACAGTTCTGTACACCTACTAACTTCATCATCTTGGAGAAGCTCCCCAACCTCTTGTTCTATTGGCCCAGTGAATTCCTGATCACACATAAAAATAAACCAAAGCATCATCAACAAAAGCCAGCCCCCATCTCACAGCTTCAGAGCCACAGACAGGAAGCAACTGTATACATACTTAAAAAATAAAAATCAGCCCAAGGAGGAAAAGTGTTGACTTGAAAAGAGGCTTGGGCAAGTACAATAGGAGAAAAAGGCACCAAATCTCTCACTGTTGGATGTTTTCTATACAGCTCTCTGTGGAACTGTCTCTCTCTTGTGTGTTGGAGGGAGATGTGCATGTGGAAGGTTCGATCAAAAGTCTGAGCAACCGGGCGCCTGGGTGGCTCAGTCGTTAAGCATCTGCCTTCGGCTCAGGTCATGATCCCAGGGTCCTGGGATCAAGTCCCACATCGGGCTCCCTGCGGCGGGAAGCCCACTTCTCCCTCTCCCACTCCCCCTGCTTGTGTTCCTGCTCTCGCTATCTCTCTGTCAAATTAAAAAAAAAAAAAAAAAAAGTCTGAGCAACCTAGACTAGTCTCAGTTCCACCACTTCCTGTGTGAGGTTCAGACAAGCGTTTTAACTGAGTCTCAGTTTCCTACCTTGTAAAGTGAAGGCAAAGCCATAATCTTCATAATAAGCTTCAGGGAATGAATGTTAAAGTACTTGGCACCCGGCCCTTAAGGTCCCTCAAACTTAAAGACCAGAGGTCCCAGCCCAGGCTGTACTACAATCACCTGGGTGCACTTAAAAGCAGACGCCTGGGCTTCACCTCAGGCCAATTAATCAGAATGGGGGGAGGGGGTAGCTCAGCAGTATTTAAAAAGCTCTTCAGATGATCTACAGTGCAGCCCCAGCTAAGAGCCACAGAGCTAAGGTGTTTCTTTAACCAGCTTGATCTAAGAGTCACTACTTTTTGGCTAATTATAAAACTTGCCCAAACTAAGGGCATTTCTACAACTCAGGAAAGTCTGCTGCTCCATTTCAACCAAACCGCATTACATCATCCACATAAATGTAGTATTATTTTGCATCCAAAACTTACTTATAGGGCAGCTACTGCTATTTCCAAGTGTTCTGCTAAATTACTTTCTCTCCCTGGGGGTAACCTGCAAACTATTGGCCTCTTTCTCCCAGCGGTCCAGTGAAGATGTCATCATCAATCCCACTTTTTAGGGGAGAAAACTGAAGAATCAGAACTATAAGGGTCCTCTGACTCAGGCCCCTTTCATTACAAAACCCAAATCAAGAAATCATTAATCTCCCACAGGGCGTGTTAAAACAGATTGAGGAGCCCGACCCCCAGACTAATTCAGCAGTCAGTGGTAGGGCTTGAAAATTTGGCCATTTCTAACAAGTTCCCAGGTGATGCTGCTGCTACTGCTGGTCTGGGGACCAGTTTGAGAACCACACTGGTTTAATGCCTCCTTCCCCTCAGGTGGTCCTGATTTTGCATAAAATGGAGCAAAGTCAGATACAGGTTGGCTAAATTTTCTTCAGCAGGGTCCTTGAAACTCATCTTCTCTAAAGACTGCATTTTCCAGGAAAGACACAAGGCAAAGAAGAAGTAAAAGAGCAAGGCTGAACTTTGGTCATTCCCACCCGGGGCCAAAGAGCCATTTAAGGTATAGACCCTTAAAGGATCACAAGCAAACAGAACCATTCCCACAGCTGTGTGACAGCATGTGACCCATTCCCAGCTCCTTAGGTGTGGCCCTTCGGGCTCCAACGGAAGTGACTAGATAGGTACCAAAGCGCCAGTTAAGGGCGCTGGACTCCGTGGGGTGAAGGTACCCTGACCTCAGGCCCCCGGCATCCCTCTAGGCACCGATGCACATCTGCCCTCCAGCTGCCTCTATTTCTCCCCCCGCCCCCTCCACTCGCCCTTGTGTTTAGAAGCACCTGGAAGTCCCTTCTCCACCTCCCCGAAACCCAGAGACTGCAGTCACAACTTCCAAAAACCCCCAAACGCTCCGCCCCAAGGAATCCCACGTCGCTCTTTCATAACCTAACCGTTTTCTTTCGCAACACCCTCCCACCTTCACTTTCCACCCCAATGTCCATCTTCGACGACCCCTCTTTGTTCTCTTCATAATCACCAATCCCACTTCCAATGAGCACTCAAGACTCAGAAACACCCCCCCCAACTCACCCACACATAAATCTATTCCCCCAAGCCCAAATGCTCTTTCCGGATCCTGAACAGCCAAGGACCCCCCGTTCCAATTATCCACCGAAGCCCTTCCCCCACCCCCGGCCTCGCCCCCCTCCAATCCCCCAACCGCCTCTCCCCTTTTCGCGACAGTCCCTCATCGCAACACCCCCCCTCAGCCCCTTCTCTCTCTACTCTGCCTCTGCCGGGCTCTCCCAGCCGCCCAGAGGCCCCAGTCGGTGGGCAACGCCCTCCCTACCATGAAAAGTCGGAGGACGCCAGAGTCTCCGAACCCGGACTGAGAGAGGCAGGAAACACCCAGCTCGCGCGAGCCGGGGGCAGAGGCGGGGCCGGGGCGGGAACTTCCGCTGCCGCAGCCCGCTTCCGCCCCTCAGAGGGTGCTGTCTTAAAGGGTCCGTCGTAAGTCTACACATTGGCTGCGTTCCCTCCAGGCTCCCCGGCTGGAGGGGGTTGCATCTTCTCTTGGCTGGATCGGGCACTAACCCGCTCTTGAATGGCCCCCTTTTTTTTCACCTTCCAAAGAGGAGGGAAAGATGCAGGGAGGTCGTCCTTCCCGGGTACAGAAGCTCTTCGGAACTGTCGTTCACCGGAACTGGATAGTTGCTTCCCAGCGGAGCTTTGAGAGCGGACACCCCGGGGCAAGATGGCGGTCGGGCCTCGGCCGCTGCCCCGGGTCTGGCAAAGCTCGAAGGTATTGGGCTGAGGCGGCGATAGCTGCGGCCTCGACCCCGAGCGCGGGGGTCTCGAGCGGATAAAGGTCTACGGCCTGTGGGTAGCGAGTGGGAACAGGGTTGGGGGTTCTCCGGGTGGTGGGGGGGACTTTGAGGGAGGTGGCTCTTTGGCCGGGTCCCTGCCTCCCCAAGTCGGAGGGCAGGTGTTGGGGACTGGCTTTCGTGTTCCAGGGGGGAATCTCGTCGTAGCCGTTTCCACCCTTTTTCATCTCTGGGACGATAGGCTATTTATAGACAGACTAATGCTGGGTGAAAAAGATTTGTTATTGTGTTGATGCCGAGGGAAGATGCTGGGCTCAGGAGTCACCCAAACCGGAGTTCGAGTCCTATTCACTCGCTCTGTGACCTTGGGTGAGTTTCCTCACCTCTCCGAGCCTCGGTTTCTTGCTCTGTAAAATGGAGTAATTAGCTCGTTTCACAGAGGAGGTTGTGTAATAACAAGTTTTAGTATCTGACACTCAGCTCTCTCAGTAGAGACAGCTGGTGTTAATGATTTCAATAAGAAAAACTTGGTGTAAATGGACGCAAACAGCCCTAGCGGCAGCCTTGCCTACTCAGCTTTTCTTTGCTGTCCTGTGAGTGACGGAGTCCCTTGGTCTTGTCTGTTTCACTTAACTAATAGCTTTGGCGTTAGAGGTGGCTTCAAATTCAGGAGTCTAGTGACCTCTCACAAGTCATGTCCCCCTTTTTTTTTTTTAAAGATTTTATTTATTTGACAGACACAGCGAGAGAGGGAACACAAGCAGGGGGAGTGGGAGTTTGAGGTTGTTTGACCTCAACATGACACCCCCTTCTCCCTCTCTCTCTCTCTCTCTGTGTCTTGAATGAATAAATAAAATCTTAAAAAAAAAAAGATTTTATTTGAGAGAGGGAGCACAAGCAGGGGGAGGGGCAGAGGGAGAAGCAGACTCCCCACTGAGCAGGGAGCCCCGACTCAGTTGCAAGGCCAGATCCCAGACCCCCGGGATCATGACCTGAGCCAAAGGCAGACACTCAACCAACTGAACCACCCAGGCGCCCCTACCAAAGAAGTTAAAAAAAACAAAACAAAAAACCCCCAAAATTCATGTCTGTAAAAATAATGCATTGATTACTTATTGGCTATGCACTCTGTCAGCCACCTTGATAGGTATTTGACATACACCATCTCATTTGATCCCCCTTTGCCTCTGCCAATTAAGAGATGAAGGCAGAAAGCCTCTGAGGCATTTCTCTGCAGTGCCTGGCAGAGCTGGGGACTGGCTCCAGCTCTGTGTGACTCCAAAGCATGTGTGCTTCTCAGTGCCATGCTGCCTCACCATGTGCTTTCTGCAGAAATTTTAGAAAACAGGCTAGTTAAGGAAACAGAACTTCCTACCTCAAACAACCGCCCTCAACATGTTGGTGTATTTTTCCCAGCTTTGTGCCTCTGTGTGCACATGCATTTTTCTTTTTCATTATGTAATTGGGATCATATTGGTTCACAGCCAGCTCTTTTTTCATTTCTCCGGCGTAAACATTTTTCATATTGTTAAAAAATGTCAAACATAATTTTCAGTGGCTTTTTAACATTCCGTCCCCTCTGTTCTTACTATCATAAAGCAAGTACAGCTTTAATTCAGCTTCTCTGGGATTGTTTTCAGTCTGTTCCCTTTAAACTGAAGGCCTGGGGAGATACGGTGTAACATTTAGATCAGACGTTAACTAAAAAGGACACTAGTGTTGTTTTAAGCCAGAAGCATTTTTTATTATTTTTATTCAGTGAGAAAGATCTAGGATGCCCTACCTATAAAACTTAACCCTGGGGCTCCTGGGTGGCTCAGATGGTTAAGCGTCTGCCTTCGGCTCAGGTCATGATCCCAGGGTCCTGGGATCGAGTTCCGCATCGGGCTCTCTGCTCCTTGGGAGCCTGCTTCTCCCTCTGCCTCTCTCTCTCTCTGTCTCTCATGAATAAATAAATAAAATCTTTAAAAAAAAAAAAAACTTAACCCTGAATCTGGACTTTTTTTTTCTTCCTTCTGCTTTTGCCAGAAAAGACACGCTCCTCTGAAGCAAGAAGCTGCCCTCAGCTGTGAGTCCTCGACAACATCACTAATGATTACCTGGCGTTTCTGTGTCACAGGCAGGTCCTCAGGTGAGCTCTCCAGACTTGCTTGGGCAGAGAGAGCAGGTGATTGAGAAGACTGTTCTCTTTTCCTCCCCTGCCTCCTTACCCTCCCTTCTGTGATCAGGTGGGCTTTGTTCATTTGATGAGAGACCCACGTGTTGGGAAAGACTTGTTATTTAACAGATGTGAATCCCTGTTGAAAAGGGACCACAGAGGCCCCTCGGTAGGTTGACATGGGGGGAGCCCTGAATGAGCTTTTTATTCTTAATGGTGTTTTCACATGGGCACTGCTTTGAGGGAGGTAACATAGTAAAGAGATTGTTTTCCTGAAGTCTGGATTTCTGAGTAATCGATTTCAGTCATTTTGTCACCTGGGCTGATTATATATTTGGGACAGAATGACAGTTTTCAAGCATCCAAAGAAATCATCTCAGTGTGGGAGGCTCCCTGGACCAGTGTTGGGTGCGCTAGGCTGATAGCCAGAGCCACCCCTTTGAGAAAAGACAGTTACTGGTGATTTAGATAAAAATGTAATGGATAATTGAGAGGCTCTGTCCAAAACATGCCAGTCAGTGAATGGCAGAGTTCTGCTCCAGTGTCTTCCTCGGCCGTTGGCAAGATCGGATCAGTCAGGACAGCAGAGTAAGTTCTACAGAAAACCAAACATATTCAATTTAACAGATTGTCTGGAATCACATTTGGCTTTTTTAGCATGAAAATGTCCCTTTTTCCAAAAAAATTAAGGGTTTCTTTCGTGGTAGGCACAAGATAAGTGCCAGTAAATATTTGTTGCATGAATGGCTGAATGAAATAATGACAGTAAATGATTGTTTATTTTTTTCCTCCAAGTCTTGACTTGGCAAAATAAATTTGACTGCTCAGTGTTAGACTGTTCCAGAAAATTCGGTTATCTAGGAACCTTTGACCTGGAGGATGCCTGGTTTGCATTACAGCTTTATGGATGGAATCAATTCATGCTTTGTTCATCTGTTAAACGATTACGGAGCCCATACCCTACGGCAGATGCTGTACTCTTTCTCTTAAGAAGATGTAATTATTTAATACAGGAAAAAGCATCGCTGGTCTAGATGAGTCACGTGAAAGGAGCCGATAGGAAGTTGGGACTTGTGCCAGGAGAGCTATTAGCCCTTTTGGAGGGCGCAGAAGGGTCCCTACTAGCTCTTTGCTGCCCAAGTGCCTGCCCGCCCTTGGCTCCTGAGCCCCTTCCTGTGTGTGTTTTTCCTGGAATGACCTATAGAGGCTGCTCACCATTTTCCCTGCAGGGTTCGTGCAAGTTTGCAAACATGTTCACCGTTTCTCAGACCTCGAGAGCATGGTTCATTGATAGGGCCCGTCAGGCTCGAGAGGAAAGGCTCGTGCAGAAGGAGCGGGAGCGGGCAGCCGTTGAGATTCAGGCCCATGTTCGGAGTTTCCTGTGTCGGAGTCGGCTGCAGAGAGAAATCAGGTGGGTGCCAGGGACTCAGCACATTCTCCCTTGCTCCCAATTAATAGCAAGAAAAGGTGGTGTTTTCTCCTATAGTTCTTGAAAAGCCTTCCAGCTGCTGTGAGCTAATTTAAAATGTCCTTCCTTTTTTTTTCTTATCCTTTCCTCCCTCCCCAGGAGAGAGATCGATGAGTTTTTTAAAGTAGATGATGCTGAGTCCAGTAAAAGAAGCGCACTTTGTATTTTTAAGATTGCCAGGAAACTGCTGTTCCTGTTCAGAATTAAAGAGGATAATGAGGTAAAACAATAGCGAACACTCTGCTTCCCCATCGGCCAGGTCTTTTTAAAGTATTTTATAAATATGAATTCATTTAGGCCTTACAGCAAGTCTGCGAGATAGACTCTGTGACTGCCACATCCTGCCCTTTCTGTTTCTTTGGGACGTGTTTTGTAGGCATTGTGCCCAGTGCTGCTGAGAATCATCGCGGTTCTTTTCATGTTGACTATGATAAGCACTTGGACTCAGATGCAAACGGGAGCCAGGCAGGTTAGGCGTTAGGTGAATGAGTGAAAGAAGCCATTTACAGGACAAAACATAACAGAAATCCTAATGAGCAGTAACCCCTCGGGAGGTGGTGGGGATGGGAGATGGTGAGGACATCAGAGGGAATGATGGTGTCTGTGGCATGCCCAAGAGTGGGCAGCCACTCTTGTGTTCCAGCCAGTGGTGGACTGCTACTCTGATTTGGAAAGGAGGTGCTGGAAATCCTGTGCTCATTTGTAAAAATTGGTAGCTAATTTGAAATTTCTCTCAAATCCTATAAACCACAAACAAAATGTGCTGGTTGCACCTTTGGGATTGGAACGATCAGCCTAGAGCAGCGAGTTGTCTGTAATAGGACTCCCGAGACCATTGAGGAGTGCCTCTGTGCTCCCAGGGATTAGACATTCGTTACTGCTAAGTGTCCCATTGTGCCAGACCCTCCTCAAGGCGCTGGGGCCCTGGAAGGAAACAAGATGCGCAAGGTCTCTAGCCCCGTGGAGCCTGTAGCCCAGAGAGAGGCGGAATTATGCTGGTGATGGACACACAGACACACAGATGAGGACAGGCAGGTGCAGTGAGGTGACCCCTGTTGATGAGGAAACTATAGCTCCGGGTAATGAGGTGGCTGCCCAGGGCCATGGCACTTTTGAGGGTGGATCCAGGGTTGGGATAGACAGTGTAACTTAGTTTCCACTTTCCTTCCTTTTGCATTTCAAGAGAAAAATGATGTGACAGTTTGTGAGGCAAAAGTCCGTGTCCATGGTGCTTACAGAATGGCCCCTGGGAGAGCACGATTCAGGGGACAGCTTCTAGTTTGCAGGAGTGCAGGCCCAGATTGCCAGATTGATTTCGTTTTTCCAAAGGAGCCCCAGTCCGAAACGCAGGTGTGGGTATCATCCAGCTCGTGGGCCACCAGTTTGAGAGCCTTCCATGAGCCTTTCTGATCCTCGGTTTCCGTATCTATGAGAGGGAATTAAATATGATCAGATATGTGAGTCATCTGGCTCCATGCAAGTGCCTGCATGTGCCAGGTGCCCACGGGACACTTGCTTCTTTCCCATTTCACCGTTGGTTGTGGGAATTTATAACCCCCACTCTGCCTCTTTGCAGAGATTTGAGAAGTTGTGTCGCTGCATCCTGAGCAGCATGGATGCTGAGAATGAACCCAAGGTAAGCGGGATGGGGGCTGGGCAGCCTCCCGGAAGCTCTCAGGCCGGTCTCTTGGCTCTGAAAGTTCCTGCTGAATGTTAGGATTTTGTTAGGTATGACTTTGCATAGGTACACACAGCCCTGCGTGTAAGGAATGGATCGAAAACGTTAACAAAGTGCAACTGATTTTTTTAGTCTCTTCATTGTCCAAGAGCTATGGTCTGCTCTTACCTCTTACTCAGGATGCTAAATTCCCTTACTAGGCTATTTCATCTCTGGGTTTAGCATTAAAATAAATACTGCTTGCTGCTTACTCACCCATTCATCTCCACTGCCTTCTCTGGCACTGGACCTAACAAATTGGTCCCATTCCAGTAGGTACAATGTATGTAATTTGGTCTCCGTACCTGCGCATTATGTTTCTCTTTCTCCTGCTTGTAGGTGTGGTATGTGTCCCTGGCTCTTTCCAAGGATCTCACCCTCCTGTGGATTAAACAGATCAAACACATTCTTTGGTATTGCTGTGAGTTTCTTGAGCAGCTCAAGGTAAAAACAAAACAAGACACCTGTAAATATATCCTTCTCATTGGAGGCCTTTAGCATATATTTTGAGAGTCCTCGTGATTCATTCATAGGTTATTCCTTTGGAAGTTTGTCAGAATCTAGTAAGAAAGGGCGCCTGGGTGGCTCAGTTGGTTAAGTGACTGCTCAGGTCATGATCC